GTTAGTGTTTCCTGGGCTGAAATGCTTCCAGGTCTTTGAGTGCCGGTTAGGAGCAGCGCACAGCGCGATGCGTTGGCCCCAGCTCAGATCTCCGTGTTCTTAAAAGTAAGACAGAGAGCTGCGAGCCGGCGAGCACGCACCCAGCAGGTATCTTTTAGGATCAGCTCTTGCTTTTTGTATGCGGTGAAAAACAGCTAGATTAGGTATTTTTACTTTGCACGATTCCATTTTTCTCCCAGCTTATCTGATCCGCTTATTTTACCAAGGGCTTTATTTCCTTCAGGCTCTGAGGCTCCGAAGCTCAAAGCTTCCCAGCGACCGGGGCTGCGCTCAGCCCTGTGCCAGATACACATCAGCCCTGGTGGCTGTGCACTATTGCTGCTGTTATCACTCTGTCGCTGACAAATCCCCACAGCTCACCTGGCCACAGCCCCGTGGCACTGATGACGGTGGGCATCGCATCCTGTGTCCATGCACAGCCCAGGGCTGGTGACTCCCAGTGATGGAGTCACCACGCTGCCTTCCTGGTAACGAATGGCCGTATTGAATGGTAATGGTAACAGTGGAGCTTGTAACTTGGAAATTAAAACCAGCTTGAAACCTGGATGGAACTCGTGCTGAAAATGATCCTTAAGAAAATATTTGGAATTGAGCAAGTTGTGCCTTAAAATTGTCTGAAATTCAGAGTTTTTAGCAAATATTAAATATTTAATGAGGCACAATCATAGAATTATGGAATCACAGAATGGCTGAGGTTGGAGGGGAGCTCAGAGATCCCCCAGCCCTGCTGTGTGCTGGCTGCCCCCAGCTCAGGCTGCCCATCCATGGCCTCGGGCTCCTCCAGGGATGGGGCACCACAGCTCTGGGCAGCACTGCCAGGGCCTCACTGCCCTCTGAGTGAGGAATTGCTTCCTCACATCCAACCTCAATCTCTCCCCTCTTAAGACTGTGGGCATGGGCAAAACTCTATGCTCCCCCCCAAGTTCCCCCAGCTGGTTCTCCCGTGCCCACACTCAGGTGCTCACAGGACCATGAGGGCTCTGACTGCTCCCACTTGCTCTCAAGGCTGCTGCCAGTGCAATCCCCCCATTCTTTTTTGGTTGTTCACATGTTTTCACCCAGGTGCTTTGTCTGGTTGTATTAAAGGATAATGCTGGCTTATACATGATGCAGATATATAAGAGAGGGAAGAAAGGGAATTCATGAGGTAGAAACCTGGTTTGTAATATCAGCCGTGGGAGGTATGGCCTGGGGACAACACAGCACATACACTGAGTTCTGTCGTGTGGAAAGGGATGGTTTGTTGAACTGAGGGTGCAGAACAGCAGCACATAAAAGAGAAGCAGGTGCAGGGTACCAAAACACTGCTCAGTTTCTCAATGCTGATCACAGAAATTCCTAGACCCCAAAAACTGAAAGGGGAGGAATTTTCCAAAATGGTGAAATCTCCAAATAAGAACAGACACAAGTGCTTGAGAAACAATCCCCTGACCTGAACGCTTTCAATTACAGCAACCATAAATTTCATTTACAGTCTTATTAAAGCACATCCTATTTATACGTCTGCTAACTGTCCCTGATGAGCCTGATGGAAGGTACCGGAGACTGAAAAACAACCAGGATGATTAAAAGCAAAATTAGCATAAATAAGATAGCTGGGTGTTTGGGGCAAAGTGCCCCTGGAACGACTTCTGCTGCATAAGGCATAGCTGGAGAAGTTTGTCAGTAGTGGAAAAGTTATTTTCCTAAATGGACATTAATGTTTTTCCCATTAATTGGAAGAAATTCTGAAGCAGTGGAAAACCTCAAAGTGATATGACTTTGAAAAGCTTCAAAAAATTCACACTGAAAAGGGCTTATGAAACTCAGACTTTTCCCAACCAAGAGTAACTTTGAGATGAGCCCCTCTTCATGCCCACCACGGGTTGCTGTGGATGGATGGGGCAGTGCAGGGTCATGCCCATGGAGGAGCGGCTTCCACTGCCACCTGCCAAGAGCCACTGAGAAGCATGGACCTGGTCTTCAGGAAGCTGAGCCCAAGGTTGGGGAGCTGGCATTGCACTGGCATCGATATAAGCATCAGCATCAGCACGGCACCCAGCAGTGTCCCCATACCCAGCCATGTCCCTGTGCCAGTCTGTGCTCAGCCCTTGGTGCGTGCAGACCACCACTGACCGGGCAGCACAGCCAGCACCTCCATTAGCCACCTGCATAACTGTTTGCTGAACTGGAACCTTGATTTGCTTTCAGTGCTTCCCAACACTCTCAGTCCCCCAATATCTCCCCGCTCCCTTGGACACACTCTGTTCCAACACAAATAGAGAGCTTTCTGGGAATGTGATTTATTTCCCCTAATTCTGATCTCTTCTTGCATTCTTCAGTTTTAGAAGCAGAACCCGTGAAGAGTTTGGCTGACATGAATATTTGTGGAAAGGTTTCCTTTTTTTTCTCCCGTCTTCCATATTTTTCTCAAAAACAGCTACCTAAATCCAAATAAGATTAAGAGAAAAACCTCTAAAATGGGTTACATTCATTTAGTAACTAGATCCTTTGTAACGATGAAAGAAGCACAATATTCTTATGTAATAAGTCCTGCTTTATAAATGCATTAATTCTTAAATTATATTGTTTTAATAAACAAGGCTCTAGACATGCCCAAGGGCACTGTTATTCTCAGAAGAGTTTTCCAAGAAGGCTTGTGTTGTTGGATTATTATTCCATGACTTCCAAGTTCACTGACTGGAGCTATTTTTTCTAATACTCATATTGCAGTAAAAACAACAACTTTCAAATACTTTGTCAAGAAGATTGGGAATCAAAATGGAAACTATTTTTGTAGGATGAGAAGTGCTGAAAGCCTCTCGTTTCATGCAATTAGATTTGGAATCTGGGGCCTGGCTCACAAAAAAAGGGAAAAAAAAAAAAAAAAAAGAAGTGTTTTTAGAAGGCTGCACTGATAGGGGGAGGTGGAGGAGATGTGGGTCGGCGCACCGCGGGCTCACCCCACTTGGGGATGTGCATGGGGCACACAGCCAAAAGACCCTGAAAGCTGCAGGTCCATGTGCCACCCTCACCAGGAAAACACACAGAGGATGTTCTCACCCCATCCCATCCCCAGTGCCATGTTGGTGCCCAAAGCTGGGCCCAGCAGAGCTCTGCCACGCATGGTTCTGGCTCCGCCGGCTCCTTCATAAGCGGATACAAAAGAAGGGAAATCTCACCCATTTGTGCCTCTGTCAAGTATCTTCTGCCTCATTTCCTTAAGTTATTAGCGCTCTTTTATTGGGTTTGGCTTGCAGGAGGATGACTATTTCATCCGTCAAATCAGAATCTTTTTAACGCTAATACCGAATTTATAGAAGTGGTTAAACGAAGTGTTGACAATATGGACAATGTGTTTCTGATTAACGCTGCAATTTAAAGTGAAACTGCCAACTGCCTGGAGTTACTAAAACAGTGCTGCATTTTTCCAGGCCCTGCAGGCTGGAACTCCGCGTCGCAGCAAGCAGATGTCGGCACCGCGCTGCACTTGCGCTGATGGCTTCTGCCACCAGAGCTCCTTCCCACAGTTGTGTTTGTCCTTTGCTCTTCCCCTTTGGGTGCACTGGCATTTCAGTTTGCTGATTTTTCCCTGCCCTACGGAGCAGTGCCTTCAGGCACTGGGTGCTCTCTGGGTCCCAGTACTCAGCATCACTCCCAGCACCCAGCATGGGGATGGGACAGAGCGCAACAGCCAGCCCCTTTCTCTATGAAGGGCAGGAAAGCAGACTCAAACATCCCAATTTATTAATTATATCTTGTTAATATCACGAGAAACAAAAGGAGTTGTACCAATAGAATGACAATGGGAACAAAAGGAGAGCGGGGAGTGCAAGCAGAGCTGAGCCATCGCCGCAGCATCCAACAGAGCAGTGCGATCACAGCCAGCTTGAGAAGCACCACTTCCACCTGAAACCTCCTCTGAGAGTGCTCACAAGAGTGGGAGCTTTGATCCCCTCCCTTCCTTTGCTCGTTAATCACCCTCGGTTGCAATACTGAACTTCTGAAATTCAACAGCTACTAAAACATAAGGCATTGAGGGCTTGGAAAGTCTCGCAGAGCTGGAGGTTTTGCAGAATCTTTTGGCTTCTTCAAGTTCAGAGCTGCAGTGCAAGTTCAGGAGTTCTCAGTTAAAGCTGCTGGGTTTGTGTTCAAGGGTGGTTCAGGTTTGGAATGAGCAATATCTCTGCCCCATACACAGCACAGGACCAAACCATCACCCCCCCCCTTCCCTCCCAGTAGCATCCTTATGCTACCAGCCCACATGCCTACACTGCACAGCCTCTCTCCTTCCTGAGCTCAGGGGGGATCCACTGCAAATTAATAGTGATTGAGCTATGCTAATGGCAGTCCCACTGTTTATCCCCTGCTGATGTTTGCAAGGGCATTCAGCTGGTGTCCCTCTTAGCAGTATAAATTTCACCTGTGCTGAAAGAGCTGAGGGCACTGCAGCAGTAAATCTCTAGTGCTTGGGGCTCTGTAAGACTAGGCTCAGCCCCATGTAATGCCGAGGAAGAGATGATTTCCAGGCTGGGTATGTGCTTGAGATAAAATAAGATCCCTTTTAAGCCTTCCTTCAAATCTTGAACTAAAGCCAGGCTGCTTGTTTCCTGAGGTCCCTTTTCCTCCCCAGTCCTTTACAGCCCTCCTCCCCTGCCCGTCCCCAGCATGCTCCAGCCCCTGTCTGGCCTTGTTTAAGAGTCAGTTTCAATAGTACCTTTGTTAAGGGAGAAATCTCATTAAATGTGAGGTAAGAGGAAATGAAAAAGTGTAAAATATCCAGATTTATTACCTGTTGTCTTCTGAGCATTTGAAAATCAGGAGCTGGGGGCAAGGGGGTGAGTGGTATCAAAGCTCTGAGCCTTAACATTGCTGCACTGTTGCGTTCTGCTCTGAGGGCGCTGCTTGCTTGTAGCACTGTTTTATTGCAGGGAAGATGATAGGAGTCTCATGTTTTTCAGGACAGAGAAGAATTGGCCCTAATGCACACAACCACTGGCTTGGAGCTCTGTTAGCCCATGCACATGAAGGTAAGTATGTTTGTTAAACTCAGATTTCTTTCTTGGTTCACAGGGAAAGATTTCCCAGGATTAGCACTGTCTCAGCTTTTCTGCTTTCAAAAGCGAACAGAGGAGCAGAACCTACTGGATTAGCCTGGGGTTTAATAGCCCTGTTAGTAAGGGAGTGAGACACAGGGGCTGGCTGAGCTCCGTGCACCTTAAGTTCTCCCCTTTGCCGTGTCTCCCACCTCCTGCAGCAAGCCGAGCAGGAACTGCAGGAACCGCCACCTCCATCCCTGCCTCAGCGCAGCCCCGGGCGCTTCTGGCCCGGCGCTTACTGTGTGCAATAGGAGCAGCGTTGCTCAGCTCAGCCTCTGCAGTCCTCGGCGTTCTCCGTGCTGCCCTATGCCCGGTACTTCTAGCACACCGCCCCTGGTGTGCGCTATGCATGGAGCTAGAGCTCTGCCTCTCACCTTCACTGTACTTGCTGGATTGATGCGCTGCTTGCTTTAGTCCCTTAAATGAATTAGTTGGTGGGGAGTAACGAGATAATTTGTGATGTACGGGGTGGTGGCAGCACCTGTGACAAACGCATCACCCCGGGGCTGGGAACAGGAGGGGCTGAGCATTGCTTCCCGAACGCGCCGCAGCTCCCGGCTCGCTGTCGGACCGTTACCATGGCAAACAGCCTCCCTCTCCCCTTCTCCCAGCCCTCCGGCTGTACCATCAGCACATCGGTATTTCTGCACGAGCGCACAGGAAGGGAGCGAGGAGACGTTGCAGGTGCTGCCTTTGGCCTGGTCCCAGGGCCGGGCCGGGCCGCGGGGACCGCACGCCCTCCAGAGCCCGGGTCGGGTTCGGCAGCGCCTTTGTGCTCCCGGCCGCGGTGAGACAAAGAGCTCCGGGCTGCGGCGGAGAGCGGAGCCCGCAGCTTCCGCTCAGTGCCGTCCTCGCCTGCAGGGGCAGCGCCGCCGCCGGGGGCTCCGGAGGGTCCGCGGGTGTTCGTCTTTTAGCCCGTCAGTTCTCGAACGTGGCCTGGAGTGCCTCTGAGACGTCATAGATGACCGCAGGAGGTGGCTTGCACCTTCTGTGGCCAGGAGCTGAAGCAACAAGCAGTGCCTTGCTCAGGATGTACTGTGATAGCATCAGGTAAACTCCGGGCCCGATGGATGCCCTGAAGGGAGAGGGACACGGCAAGCTGTTATTTGATTGAGTGGTGTAGGGTGACCAAGAATTGCTGAGATAAACCATGTCAGGAGACAGGCTTGGCGGCAGCCTCACCAACACCAAGGGCTGAGCCCTGTCCTTGGAGACACCCAAAGCCAGGGGATGGGGCTCTGAGCACCTGATGGAGCTGTGGGTGGCCCTGTGTGCTGAAAGGAGTTGGACTAGGTGACCTTTGGGGGTCCCTTCCTACTCAGATGGTTCCGTGATCACACAGCTGTGTGTGTCTTCCTTGGCTTAGAAGTGCCATTGTGGTGACGGGAGCTAATGTAGGTGTTTGGTGAGCTCAGGGCACAGACCCACACCTGTTGTGCTCTCTTCCTGGTGTGGAGAAGGCTCCTACCCAGGCTGTGCCCTAAAAGCACCGTGGGCATGGGCTGTGCCGCTCTGTCATCAATGTGGGCATGCAAACGTGGTGGTTTGGAACCATGAGGAAATCACCAGCTGGCTGCTGTTGTGGCAATTGAATTGCTGAGGTCTTGGCTGGGGTGGGGGCCATATCCTGGGATAAGGGCCACCCCATCCAGCTCCCTGCTTGCTGTGGGCCCCTAGGAACAACCTGGTACATGGCACTCAGCAATGCAGAGAAGTACTGCAGCTTGGTAGCACATGCAGGGAACACATTTGCTTTGTCTGTGCTGAGGTGGCTTTAAATCAGGGCATGAGCGAGTGGTGGGGCTCTGGATGCCTGCTGGTTCTCCCTCCATCCACTCTGTATTCTAACCCTAATTGTCTGCAGCAACCTGTTATTACCGCGCCTTTAACATGATAGACACAAATAGGACGCACTAATCCACTACTCTTTGGTTTAAGAGTCATTACAAAGTGCTTAATTAAGTAAGCCTCACTTAATCACAAAATGTTTGCATGCTAAACGAGTTCTTGTGAAGCACGACACTTGACATATTCTGTACAAAAATAATTACAAGCGGGAGGCCTGGTACATTGAGCCTTCGAACATTTCATTTCAGGCCTTACCCATTCATCACCAGGCTGGAATTAAAAGGCTTTCAGCGCCGCATGGGGCTGAGCTCCCACATTCCTGCTGCCTGAGTCACGGCGTGTGGCGGCTGCGGGCGGCCATGGCACGGTGCTGCTGGCACCAGTGGGTGCAGGCATTGCTGGTGAGGGTGCCCTTGGTGAGAGCTGAGCGAGTGGGAGCGTGGCTTTCTCTGTGCTAATGATAGGTCTCTGAGCGTGTGTTTGCAGCACTGCAGAAGGAACACAAGAGCGGGTTCCGAAGGGCAGCGCTGTGGCGTGTGGGACCAGGCAGGGCGAGACTTCTTGCTGCCGTGAGCTGGGTGTGATCCTTCCTTGTAAGCAGAGCTGCTCCAGCCCTGTCCTCTGCCTGGAGCGATGGTGGTGTTCCCAGCATGGCTCCTTCACAGCCTCACAAAAGCTGCCTGAATGGGATTGTGTCAGGAGCAGCACGCAGACCTTTGTTGGGAGTGCTGGTGCCCATTAAAACCTGTATCCCTGTCTGGATAATTGGGAACCTTACCCAGCCTGCCTTTTGATGGAAACCCTTTAATTAGCATTCTGTACGTGCAGCAGTGCCCTCAGCACCCTGCTTGTTTTCTCACATGCTGGCTGCTCAGGTTGGGGTGTTTTGGGTCCTGCAGCTCTGTGTGGTGCACAAGTGCATCCTTCAGCATGGTGTTGCAGTACAGCAATGCTCCTCATCCTGCCCAGCTGCTGCTGCCTGCTTTGGGTTCTGCTTTTGACTGCTGTGGCTCAGCGTGTGGAAGCAGGGAGCTGTGCTGTGGGGCTGGCCCTGTGCCCCATGGATACTGCTGGGAAGGCAGTGCAGGGCCACCATCTATCTTTGCCAAGAATCGTGTGTTTGCTCATCAGGAGATAGGGCATTTGCAATTGGCCTCTTGTTGCACTATCATGTAAACCATATAGTGCATAGGAGCTGTTGCAGTGTTACTTGTCACCATGGATGGACCATGTATTTGCAAGCAGTCCAAAAGGAACACAGGCACTGACACTCAGATCAGTTCTCCTGTACTGCCAAACCCCATCTGCACAGCTGCAGCTCCATGCCCATTTTTAAAGAAGGTCTTGAGCCCATTCAGGAAGAATGTTTTCTCAGAAAGAGTGGTCAGGTGCTGGTACAGGCTGCCCAGGGAGTGGTGGGGTCACCATTCCTGGTGGTGTTTAAGAAAAGGGTGAATGTATACTTATATTGGTGGTAGGTGGACTGGGTGATCTTAGAGGTCATTTCTAACCTTCATGATTCTATGATTCCTCTAGACCTCATTTTGGAAAAGAGCCCCTTTGATGACTCCCTGGAGTTCCCTCACTTGATATCATTGTCCATGCCATGCTATGTGCTGTGCCGTGCCACAAAACCTTGTGAACACCAGTGTGTTTTGCAGCACTGCTCCATCACCTCTGGCACAGGTGAGGTGCTCCATCACCTCTGACGTACTGTGGTGGCTCCTGCTCAGGGCAGTCCCCTCCCCTCCTTTAGCCCTCCCCACAGCTGTGGCCTCGTGCAGGAAGCAGCACCAGCTGCAGCTCTCGCATGTGCACAGTGTTGGCCTTTTCTCGGGGCTTACTGAGAAGATAAATATGTGGATGACAACGCTGCTAAAATATGCATCTTCGGGGGGAGTTATCGAGCTGCGATTTCCTAGGAGAAGCACAAGGAGATATTTTCCCCTCCTTTCCTGATGCTACTGTCGTCCTATTGTGTCTGAACACGGCTTTGGAAGAGGGCTGTGCCCTGTGGGGCTTGGGGCAGCGTGGGATCCAACCCTGCAGGATGGGGGGACCTGCTCTATTCCATTCTGGTCCCCCACCCACTGCCTGTTGTGTGCTATTGCAATGGCAGTGGCTGCTCCTTCACACATCTGTGCGTATGCCATCACCAGAGAGCTGGGGGCACACCGTGGGGCACAGGGTGCATGGTGCTCTGATGCCAGCAGCTGCCACACTGTGTGCCAGCAGCCTGGTGCTGGAGCTCTGCAGCGGGGTTTTGTTTTTGAGGGGAGGCTGGAAAAGCACTCAGCACGCTGTGACACCCTCTATGACATTCTCGTATCAAGTTGTTTCAATTTTTAATTTGCAAACAGCTTGTATTTCAATATTTTCATTATTTATCATATTGCATTGTGTTTTGCATCACAACTGTTGTCTTCCATATTATTTTTACACGATAGATCATTTTGCTGGAAGTCAAAATCAAAATAAACTCCAAGTGCTTTTGTCAAGCCCCAACCATTTTAGCTAAGCTGCAGCGATGTTTTCCAGCGTATTCCTTCACAGGCGCTTTGCAGTGTTTGTTTCTGCTCTTCCAAATGGTTTTGTGAAACGTGAAGTTCATGGAATGGACCCTATATGGGCTCCCAGCTGCTGTGATGCTGCCTGGCTCTGTGTGGGGGGAGAGCAGCCCCTGAACCTGAGGAGCCCTGCCTGTGGGTGTAGGCACTGACAAAGGAGCAAGGAAACACATCTGGTAGAAATTATTTAGCAACATTTCCAAACTTGGTCATCTTCTTTCTTGCGCTAGTGCAGGTTGCCAAGCTGCAGGGCCGTGCTGTACCAAACCGTGCTGTGCTGAGATACCCCGATGCTGCCTGGCACAGCCCCAAGGGTCAGGGCAGGGGGCTGCTGCTGAACCGGAGCTTGAGCTCCACTGCTGCTTTGGCCCCAAAAAGAAGGAAGGCGCTTCATTTCCCAAAACCTCACAATGCATCAGATTGGTTTTTTTTTTTTTTTTCAAGATGAGATTTTTTTCGTTTCAAAGTGGTGTTTAACAGTTAAGGATAGATTTGGGATTTTGCCTTTGTTCTGGGAGGGGAGGCTTTAAGAAAGGGGTACAACTGCTTGAAATGCTTCAATTGGGCATCGGCGACGTGCTCAGTGTTTTCATTATGGATGGCCCCATGCTTCTTTCTGGGTTCATTTTCCATCACTGGAGCAGAGGGCGGCGGTGCTGTGTCTGGCTGGCCGGGTGCTGCCTGGCAGTGAGCAGGGCTGGCACACCCCGAGAGCTGCCATCCAGCAGAGCCAGGTGCCGGGGCTGGCGGGGGAACAGAGCGGCTCTTGGCGCGGGCAGCTCGGCTCTGCAGAGCGCGTGCGTTTCCAATGTGTTTATTTTGTGCTCTGGGAACAGCTGTTGATATTTTGACACTCGCCAACTCCGCGGGATCTTCAGGGAGTCTCCTTCCCTCCCCTCCACTTCCTGACCCCCCCCCCCCCCCTTTCCTTCTGCTTTCTGCTCTCTCTTTTCCATGCACCCATCTCCTTTCTGCCTGCCTTTGTTTGCAATGGGGTGAGCAGGGAGCTCTGTGCCGTGGCTCCCATTGCCCCACGCATCCACATTGCCCCACGCTGGGAGCTGGGCTTGGCCCTGTTTTGGGGTAACCCCCCCTCACACCCCCTCCCACACTGCCGTGCCAGATTAGCTGGGTTAAACTGCTAATGCTCCGCTACGTGGAAGGCTGCTTTCAGTAAGTGGCTCCCCGTAGCTTATTTGACTCCAGGCCCAAATCTAACGTCTCAGTGGGCCTGTTACATTAAGCAGGCCCAAGTGGTAGGAGATTTAAAGCATCAAAATGAAGTGCTTTATCACTCCGTACTGTGTTCTTGGCTGCTTTCGTTGGCCTCACTTCACAGGCTTTGCAGCCTGCAAGCAGAGCCCTCTCGGCAGGCCCATTACAAATTCCACTTGTTGACGGTTGCCTTGTTGCAGGATTTAATGGTAGAATAATATTTACACAGTAAACTCCTCTGGAGGTGTTATAAACACCATAAAAAGGATTTTAGAAGCTTAATGAGCGTTAGTGAAGTCGAGACAGGATAATGTGGCAACTGTGCGCTGTAATCTGATTTGGCACCTTCTGCACAGCAGGAGTTGGTGGGTGGAAGAGCTTTTTCGTCTTTTTGTTTATTTGTATTCAGTGTGTAATATTGCACAGCGGGGGCTCAGGGTGTGCAGAACCGCCGACCTATGCACAGCCCGGCAGGCACTCAGGTGTGCATCCTCAGATGGGGAGAGCATCAAGGCCCAGCAATGCGGTGTTTGGTGGTGCTGCACCAAGCTTGGCCATAAACATCCTGTGGGGAATTTGCAGCCCAGCCCTGTGCCCGCTGTGGGGACACCGGTGGGGCTGTGCTGTGCTGAGTGTTACACTGCCCACAGGAGGCATGGGGCAGCCGTAGGGCATGCACTGACTGCACCAAGCATTGGGTGCATCCCAGGCAGTGCTCTGTAGCCGTGCATCCTCCTGCCTCTTTTTAGCATTGTAGTTCATGTTTCCTCCTTTATCTGAGCCGAAAACGCCTCCTTCTCTATTTGCGTGTGTACGTATCTATACATATGCACAGATGCACACAGATTTGCGCTATTCTGGGGTGGCTTTGCAAATCAGCCCTGTGCCTTTGGTTGTTGCTGTGCAGATATTTTGGGTTCTGTTCTGAGGAGGCAGAGAGAGCTCAGGGCTCTCTGTGTACACCTCTTGTGCTGCTCAGTGTCGGCGGGCCCTTCTGCAGGGAGGAACCAGAGCTGCCCGGCTGTGTCCTGCTGCTGCAAGGGCCATCTTCTGAAGGGAAAATGGTTGGTGGGAATGCTTCCATTTCAGTGTAATGCAGCTTATCAAAGAGTCTCTCTTTGTTTTCCTGTTTTTTCCCCCCAGCATTTAGATTGTTTTTCAGTTTGAATGTTGTACGTTTTTTATATTTCTGCATTGCTGTTATACAAATATCAATATATACATATAAAATCTATCCCATACATACTGTTGAAAACCTCTATTATCTTCTGCTGTGGAACACAAACCAGAGCTCAACTGCAGCGTTTCAGGCATGACACGGGATCTGCTTTCTGCACAGCTCCTTTCCCCAGCTCAGCCCTGTGATGGACTTTGTTCTGCAGCGTGGGACCCTCTGCCCATTGGCTTGGCAGAAGTCCCCACCCTCTCCTGCCATCTAAGTCTGCAGTTTTGTGAACTTTGAGGACTTTGATTTTGACACTGCAGGAGCCCCCCTCAGCCTATCCAATTTCTGAGGGACACAAGGAGCCGTGAATCTTGAGGCTGACTTGCCAGGAGCAAAAAGCTGCCTTTTGTAAATAAGCCAATATTTTCTTTCTTTCAAGGGGAAGCTGACAAAGATCAATACCAGCCTGCAAAAGACATTGCCCTCTTAAGAATTAGCCCTTTGCAGAATCATTAATCCAGGAAGCTGTTACAGGGTGACAAGAGCGCGCAGGCTCTGCCAGGTCTTGGAGGGATCACAGGAACATCGCCTTATGCACAGAAAAACAAACCCAGTGAAATCACCAAGAAAATAGCTGCCATGCTCCAGGCTTGTTCTGCGGAGGAGCTGGTCTGACTTTGGTTAGGGAAGGCAGGGTGTGCTCCTGGAAAGAGGCATTAAGGAACCCCTGCGTTCATCCCATGCCCATCCTGTGGTGGGATGGAGCACCGAGCAAATCAGTGCAGTGCTGTGGTTGGGTCAAACTAAGATGTTTACTTCCTAGTGGGCTGCTTTCACACACATCCAAATGCCCCAGGACTGATGGCATGGTTTGTCAGACTCAGTGATGTCCTGGAAGAGAAGAGCAACCCTCATCTCTTGTGGCGTTTAATGGCTTAATTGTGTGCAAAGGGCTTACGTGTATTCTGCAGTGATGAGGCACTCGAAACCAAGTGGTGAGCACAGTGTAGGAACCTGCAGAAGAAAGGAAAGGTGTAAAAGTAACAGCTCGAAAAGGAACATAGAGTGCTGTCCCTGTCCCAGTCCTGCTGACGCTACTCTGACAAGGGGTGCTTAGGCTGTGAAAGGCTCATTCCTCCAGGGAAGAAGGAGCTGCTTCCCTGGACGTGGGAATCTCAATTAAGTCAGAGGATGGAATATTAGGAAGAATTCGTTGTCAGAAAGAGAGGTCAGGCACTGGCACAAGCTGCCCAAAGAGGAAGTGGTCACCATCCCTGGGGGTGTTTAAGGAAAGGGTGGCTGTAGTACTTTAGGACATGGCTAGTAGGCAGTGTTGGTGGTAGGTGGATGGTTGGAATGGATGATCTTAAAGGTCTTTTCCAACCTTCATGATTCTACAAGTGTGCCTCAGTTTCTCCAGAGCTGCGTCTGCCTGCATCAGCCCTTGGGTGAGGCTGCCAGCGGTGGGCCCCGAGTGGCACGTGCACGTGGTGGGTGCGAGATAACACGCATAATCTTATTTAAGTATGAAGAAAAATCAGCGCGAAATGCCAAAAGCTGAAGCGGTGACGTGTCTGGTTAACAGCTAGAAATGAAAAAATAATTCCAAACAACACGTTTGTCACAACATTGAAGGGTCACCCGCTAGGCAGAGGAAGCCAAAGAGGGAAACAGTTCTTAGGTGTAATTACAGT